CATCTACATGTTAATGCAGTCGATAGCCCTACTCCAAGGTTGTCAATATTCAACTGATCCTACAGTTGATGATCATGATCTTTATGGTAAAAGTACATTTGATATTTTTGAAGTAATGACTAGCTATTCTAGTACAAAACTCAGCACTGAAAATGGGATATTTGGAAAGTCTGGTTGGAAATAACTTGAGACTTGAGAAGGTCATAGCGTTAGACACTTTGATGGGGGCTAGCAGATGCCAAGTTAGGATTGTAGGTGTGACCCAAGACTAGCCTCTGGAATCACCTACAAATTACCCTTTCCAGCTAAAATTTCAAACCAATTTATTTCCTTCCTCCCCTTCCACAAGAGGTGATACAAACCTTATGGGAAGAGCGGTGAAGGTGCAGCCTGGCCAGCTCACAGTGGAGGAGTGTACCTGTGTAGTTGCGTGCCAAGCAGGTGAAACTATCCGTAAGCCATGTTTAATCAAGAGTGAACAGGTCTCAGTACTGAAACACTATAGGCCCAGACCCCAGCAATTGTGTATGGAGTCCCAAATATTTGACGGATTATTCAGGGCCTTTCTGATAACTAGTAGAAACAAAGGATTCTGTTGTTTTGGGACTCAAATTTCCTGGTAAAATCGTGCAGTGGCTGGCGCAGTCACGCAAGTTTGTTATGTTAGGTATGTGGGGGAATATAGAAATGGGAAAAGCGGCATAAAACGTTGGCTGTTTCTTGTGTGGATAGAAGTTCTCACAAAGATTACAGGTGAGGCAAGGCTGAGAATAATCTCAGCTCTAGGCTAAAACTACCACCAGAGGTGTCAGACTGTAGTCTCCAGACACACATGTTGTTGTTGTGGCTCCATTTCTATATTTTCTAGGTGATGTAGTTTTTTTTCTAAAGTTTAACACATAGAATGTTACGGTTGGCAAATTGCATTGCTGAAAGTTGCCAATCTCCAGTGGCTTGATTATAAACATAACCTTTTACGTAACAACATGTACCGATATACTAATTATTTCAAATTGATTTTGGGAAACTTTTCTGGAAAAAGCTATTGCTTTGTAAGGCTAGTTGTATATATACAGTTTGAAAAAAATAGTACAACTGGATAAAAATAGACTGGAGTACATGCTTTTGCTACATAATGTCATTATGATGTTTGAATGGGAAACATGACATGTCAGGTAGCAGGTTAGTGGTTGGTTTGTTCCAATGTGGAGGTGGACATTTTTCTGTACAAAGGTTACCAGGAAGTCTATAGAAGGATAGTTGACTCAACAGTCATTTATGTGGGTCAGCAGGTGTGTGCCAGATAGGGCAGGGAAACAGGCTCTGGTTCCTAACCTGACAGTGGTTCAGAAGAATTACCTGCCAAGACTCTAAACACTCGGTGGTTTGCCTTTCTGAGGCTGATACCTGCTAATTTGATCAAAAGAGGCTCTAACTGACATCACAAAACAGACTTAAATAGGTACAATTGGCACAAAGGAGGGCTTTGTTTGGCGTGGGGGACCTTCGACCTCCATTTGCAGGAGAAAATTGAAGCTTCTCATCCCTCAAGCTGCCTTTATTCTGGTGTTTGATAAATTCATGTCCAATGGGAAAAGTGAGATAAGGGGCAGGGTGCAACAATGCCAGAAATGAAGACAGATTATGGAGTACTGATTGGCTGCCAACAAGTACCGCATTGTGTACGGGATTTAATGAATTCTGCCTGGTCGAACTTTCCTCAACCACAAAGGGGAAATATTTCCCTCCTGTAGCTAACCTTTGACCTGATCTAACAGGGGTTCCCCAGGTCAAGACAAGTCTATGGACCAGTCTTATGACAAGTTTAAACAAATGTCTGGATGGAACGTCTTCTAATGCACCTATTACTCTAGTTCTTATAAACTTATAATTCTCTTTGGCATGAGTCTTGGTTTGGCTGGTATGTCCTCTAAGTTACTTAATGGTAGTTTAATACTAGCATAGGTTGTATAAGGCAGGTAGCTTATTTCAGTCTAGTAAATATTTTCCCATAAATGGATGCAGTGGACCCATATATGGAGCTGGTGACCCATTGTACAAAAAGAGTTTGTGGAACTGTGCTGAAGACGCCAAATTAGAGAGTTACGGCTACCCCCAACTGTCTTTAGCTTGTGGGGATCTGTGCGGATAAACTTCCCTTTGTGTGAGAGTGTCGGCTCTCATTCCGGGCGGAAGAACACGCTTTTCAGCGTATGGAAATATGGTTTTGGAAGAGGTAATTGGCCAATTTGGGAAATCCAGAAACCAGCTAATGAGTGGCTCCTTGAGGGTCCACTCCACATGGTCCAGATAAAGGTCCAGCCTGGCCCCAGGAATTAGGATTATCTTCAGGGGACAAATGGTGCATTTTGTTCCTGTCTGCCACATGAATAGCTGGGAATCCCATGGAGACTGTTGGAAAAAATTTTGATGGATGAAAAAAGTTCTTGCTTGGCACTGTGGAGCATATCCAGAATCTGACTGAAATGGCCCCCAACTTCAATAAATTCATATTCTGTCATCGAAATAAAAAAAGGAAGAAAAGATGAAAAGCTATAATATATATCTACATAAATGTTATTACTGACACTCTACTACTTGGGAGCTATTTATACTATTTTTCATTGGAGGGACACAGACTTGGTGTAATGCTTGACATTAGGAAGTTCAAGGAAGTTGCTGAACAGGTTGTGTCTTCTTGTTCATGGAATTGACTTGTTGGCATTGTCCTCTGTACAGGCATGCCCAACCTTGTTTTCTTCCCTACGCAGGGACATCCTAACTTTAGCTTTGGCACACGTTCAAGGTCTGAACTTGGCAATTGAGGGATGTCTCAACTTCAGCACGTGTTCTGCTAACCTTGCCCCAAAATGTCACAGGGTTTCTGCACAGTAATAGGAACACCCCTAACTCTTCAAGTTTCACTCCTTTATAGTGCGAGATTGAGGGAGACTTGTAATAACTATTGTAGTTATTGTCCTCTATCAAACATCTTTGTCTAATAATAATGGTTTCACATATGGCTTGGCAAACTGAATACAGTCAACAATATTGTCACAGATGTCAGCCTTTTCAGGTTAGATGAGGCCATGAAATCTTCAGTAAAACAGTAGGGTGTACTTGGCCATGGCAGTTATGGTGAGTGCACCCAGTCATGTTTCTAGCCAATATGTGTATACATGTTGACAACAAAGGCATCTATGAATCTAATCCAGGTGCTCAAAGGCCCAGGGACTTATCTATGTGGGTGGTTGGTTGGACAGGTCCAAACTTATGTCCAGTATTATAAGGAAGGTTGATTGTTTGAGGCATTTGTAGTAGACCTTGGAACCTCTGCTGAAGCATTGTCCTTAGAAACATTATACAGGTACATGTTTAAAAGACAGTCTTTATATTTTCAAGTCTACGGGTAGTGATGTTCATGTCTGGAGAGGTATGTTGTCTGTTATGCAATAGGAGACTCAAGCAGTACTGTCATTCAGAAAGCTCATCTGTGTGTTGTACGACAGTCATATCACCATGCCTAGTGTAGAGATTTTTCCTTGTCAAAGGCTATTTCAATGTTTAAAGATATAAAGTCCAACCAGATGTCATGGACACAGGCATCAAAGTTCACTCTTTGACCGTCAGGTCATTGTTCATGCAGACTCAGTTCCCAAGTCCACTATCACCACGTGCTGAAGGTCATCTTGGCACTCTACATATCTGAACTGGAAAGTTTCAAAACTGCTCCATCTGTCCAAGTTCATTGTCATTAATGACAAGCCAGATAGAATGTCGCCCTGGTCTCCACCTCATCAAAAGTGGGTCAGGCGAGGCCATCCATTCCTGCAGGTGTGACATGGTGGGACTGGGGAAAACGCAGGGTTTCTCAGGAAACGTCACATCCCTGCCTGCAACAATATGACAGGGCCGTTCCAAAGGTTATATTTAATCTGCGGCAGGCTGGGGGCACACAACTTGAATTTCAGCTTTTATGGACCCCTGACATTACAGGGGATAAGGGAGGCCTCACCTGATATCTCCAGATGGGATATCTGAGAGGAAACCATGCTTATCCTGTAAATCATGCAGCAGTGCTGTGGCCTCAACAATTAGCAAAGGATGTCAGATGTTCCAAATATTTTGTGAATGTGGTATGGTCTGGTCCAGACATGAACACAGCACACTGGAGATGGGAGGGATATCTGACTCACCAAAGACCCTGTTGTGGGAGGGATCTGCGTAGACAGGATTTATTTACACCACAGGCTGGGCAGGGGACACAGGAGACTTGACCTGGGGGCCATGTTGGCCAGACTTGTCACTTTGATGTTCCTGTGGTCCAGCTTTGTACCAGCTACTGTTTGTGTGTGGAGAAGTGACCCCGTTCCTGAGACAGTAAAGAACCAGAAGTTCAACCACCTCACAAACCAGTACTTGGAACCGTCCATGTTCAGTGCAGACATAATGTTTCCATAGACTGTGTTAAACATTTACATCAAGTTGCAAAAACAAATTCATGACTCAAAGGCATGCAGTCTCTTCTTGTTGTGTGTCATAGTTTATGTGTGTTAGGAAGTGTCCATTTGCATAGGAAAAGATGACGCTCATCCTGTATTTCCAAGGCAAGGGGATAGTGTATAGGTCTGTGGTAGAAAGGTGCTTTATCTGGCACAAAGTTAGTATTAGTATCTTGCTAACAATTGGCTTACAAAAAATTACAGACAGAAAAAAGACTGTGCAGACCCGACTGAGACATTGTTGAATGCTCACAGGTTGTGGTCCATTGGTGATCTGCTAAACCACCCAGTCTTAGGTCCCTACAGACATATGTATGTAACCCTGCATGACCATGTTAGATACAGTGACTGCCCTGTTGTGGTCAGCCTTACATGCCCTGGTCCCCAGCTGTTTTCTGATCAACTGTCTCCACAGTTATATGTTTTCAGTTTGTTGCTGTCTATATGGAAAGTAAATGTTCCATCTAACCTGATGTTCTTGTTCTGTGTGTTCTCCAGCACTGGAAGGACGTCTCTGCGCTGTCCAAGGACTTCATCGACCACTTGCTGATCATCGACCCACAGGAGAGGATGACGTCGGCCCAGGCGCTGAAGCACCCGTGGATCACCACCAACGCTGCATCCTCCAGCATGAAGAACCTCCACAGGACAATTTCACAGAACTTGTTGCAGCGGGCGTCCTCGCGGGCCAACAGCACCAAGTCTGCACGCTCCACGCGATCCACCAAGTCCAACAAGTCCAATCGCTCGCTCAGGTCGGACCACCGGAGGGTCCAGGCGTACGAACTGGAGAAGCTGAACCTGGACGAGGGTTGAAGGCGATACCGCGGACTCTCTCACACAGGGTCGCTCCGTACCACGTACTGTCGCCAGTGTTGCCACTAAGGAATGTAGATACTTTCTACCTTCACCGTCAAGTGCCAAGTATCAACCATGTGTATAATGTGTATGTCAAGTCTGTGATGAAAAAATCCTACTCAGAGGAGGTCACAAGCTGATCTTCAAAGTCTATTAACACAAGTTTTGCCAGGGGTATTTCCTCTGGACTGTTCAATAGCCAAGTAATATTCCAAAGTTTCGCCAAGTGTAAAATTCAGGTGGAAAACCTGATGGCAGACACAAAGTCAAGGGTCTTTCTCTTTGTGAAATTGAACAAAAATATTTTCCAGGACAGGTACTTTACATAACTGAAATGACGTATTGCCAAAAACATTCAAAGTGACCTATTTCCATTACACAGTAAGTGCCTTTACGCAGGGCTACCTTGTTGGAACAAGTTGGCTAATTTCTCCTGCAGATCCTATGAAGATTTTACAGCATTACCCTGAAAATTATTTTGGTAATAACTTTGTAATTTGTAATCAGTGCCTGGAATTACCATCTTACATCAGCTAATTTCATATTTGTGAATCATGGATGTGATTTTGATAACCCCCAGATTCTTTGATAACTTGGCAAAGGAAATGTTCCAGTTATATGATCTTCCAAACCATGTCATAGAAGTGAAAAAGGAAGCTATGTTTTGTGTATGTATGTATGTTCTAATCCTGTTTGTATATAATGTATATAAATATATATAAATATCTATATTTGTGGATTTTCAGGCCACACATGCCTTGAAATCATGAGTTTTACAAAATTTTGTGATGATTATTTTTGAGATGACAAATGTTAGAAATCCTACTTGTGATTTGATCTTCCAAACTTGAATACTAACTGTGCATCATGACCATATAGGCTACAAAGGTTCCACTGTGTAGTTTTCCTACAGTAAAAAAATGATTTCAAAATGCTAAGAAGCAACTGTGAGCATGGCCCAAAAGTAATTCCTGTCATCAAAAGACTTTCTCAGGTATTCAAGATATAATACAGGTCAAAATATGAGTAATGACAATATGAAACGTAAAATTGGCAAATAATTGGTGAGATCGGTGTGGCCTGTTATTTTGGGTATCTGCAAAAGAAATCTGGGAGACAGCAGAAAATCCCATTATTGTCTCCAAGCACAACATGAATCAGGTAAATGTGTGTAATGTAAGAAAAGCACACTTAATGAAGGGTGGGCAAGAACTGTCAGCTTTGAACATTCGAGCACACTTGACAGAGATCAGGATTATTTGTACCAATGGAGAAGAGTTTCGCTGAAAAGGTTCTTCCAATCTGGTCTCTCAATGTTCACTGCCATAGTGAACTTCTCTTGTGGAACAGGTTTGGGTTAATGGTATTCACCAAATTTTGCAGCCTAAAATGATGCCTGTAGTTGTATGTATTTTCTCAATCAATGAAGAGTTGTGTCAGGGACCCATCTCAACAGTTGTTTTTTCTACAAGTGACAATAAGTCATGTTGTACCATACTGTCAATGGCTGAGAACATGATGTGATGTTAGGTATTGTCTACTAGTGTGAAATACTTCCGTGGAAAACACAACATTCCTCTGTGAAACTTAAGGATTAGGTAACATTATTGTAAACTAATTTAATTATTTTGTTCATATTTGTATTAAGATATTTGTCCTAAATAACAGAAGTTTATCTGGAGCAATTTTGTGTTGCGATGTCATGGACTGGACAACTTGTTTCAAGGTGCCTTCCCTTTTTGTGGACAGCTTTTGAATTTGAGGAAACCTTGTCCACAAGTGTTACTGTGACACCTCAAGTAACATTGAAGTCTTGCCAGTGCCTTCTTGGAAGTTTGTGCAATTCAACATGTACCCATCATTCCATGTTACCCACAATTCCACACTGTACAGTCCATGAGTCAACAACACAAGTTGTTCCAGTTTAGGTAGAGAAAAAAGTTTTCATTTAAAGATGTTGTTTCTATATATAGCTGAGTTTGAAAAGACTCCATTCTAATGCTTTGTTAGTATTCACAATAAAAAAGTTAAGATCTGAAGATCTGTCTGGTTTCCAGCTGTTTCCTTTTACTGAGTTGTTTTCTGTACAGATGCCCAGACTTAAATTTAAAAAAGAAAACACCACATAACCCACAAAAGGTTATGTTACAAGGCCAAAAAATGAAAACCATTAAAACTTCCATTTCTTATTTTCTTGTACAAGTTCTAAAAAGTACTGCTAATGTGCTATGGATAACGGGACTGCTATGCTGGAATTTGTATTTGTACAAAACTTAAGCCCCACCGACCCCACAATTTGATCTTCCATCTATATGGTGTTTAATAGCGACATATAGCAGACGAAAGTGGTGGACTACTAGTACAGTGCATGGTATGGTGGCCTAGGTTCGGCTTTATAGTGGTGAAATGATGACACCTAGCGGGAGAAAGCGACAATGCAGCACTGGTCGCTCTCATCTATCGCCTGAAATCCCGTCCGATCCCACAGCCCCGCCCACGTCGATCAAAATGTAAAAATACAAAACAAAAACTTTAAAGCTCTCTCATTGGTCGAACCACTAATTGCCACGTTGTCATTGGTTGAACTGCTTATTGCGATGACCAAGTCAAAGGAAGAAAAGAAAGTAGAAAAATCCCTGGTCTAAAATTCGGTTGCAGACGTGTGAAATCTGAAATCTTGGCAGTGTGTCAAAGATGCACAGGTAACTACTTTGGACTATTGTTCTTCACTGACGTGTACTTTGAACATATACAGCAAAGTAGCCTTTTGCTGAATTATTGATGGCCGATTTCGATTGGATGAGCTCGAGGAAGTTGATTGAGTTATGTCCATTTAGTTGCACACCTGACACTTGTGTGCAAATGACAGGTGGTTTGGTCAGTTTCACCGCGTGTGTCGGGTGGCTTGTGTGACGCACGCTGCTGTTACAATTTTCTTTGAAACTTTTTGGCCTATTTTCGGCTTTTACCGTTTTGTGTTAGGAAAATTTCTACCGTAACGTATGAAGTAAGTCTTGGGGATGTCTCTGTGATGAGTTTTTGCCGTTCTCTGGTTGTTTGAGGGACGAAATGCGCATTTCCTGACCTGGGCCGGAATTTTGGACAAGAAAGGAAAATGGCGACTGTATGTATAAGGACGACGTGGTGTTGAGAAGACTCCTCTTTAGAAGGTAAGACAACAAACTATCCCGTTAAATGTATTTCCAACAAAGTCGTAACCCTAACTTACGTACATTCTGTGCAAACTTGTGTGGTTCTAGGCATTTATATCCTATAGTTTTAAGCGGGTTTGCAGTTGACCATTTCATGCACTATTTTCTTTTTCTTTTCTGGGCATGTATTTCTTGTTTGCGAGTTGACTTAGTTTGGAGAATACTGAATGTCTTTCCCATTGTCGAGTGGCTATGAGAAATTATGGGATAATTTTCAGACAAAACAGACGCAATAATGTTTTGTTCAAAATCTCCCATGGCGTGGCCACTGCCTGTTGAAAATGTGCTGCACTGGGGGCGGGCATAATCAAGCAAGCCCTTTCAATTTTTCCGCCAATTTTTTTCGCGGAAAGAAGGCTTCAAGGGGTGAAATATTCAGAAAGGACATAACAAATTTAGGTTCACTTCAGATGGTTCACTTGGTATTATGTATCCGTTTTAGCGTTAAATAGGAAGAAATTTGCAATGAACTCTGTCCACTATCCACGGTGGTAAAATCTGGGCTGCAAAGTTCCCACATGTCATAGAACCCGAACTGTGTTCGATCGTGTTCGATCTGGGCAATTCGAATCGAACCCGCGTTCTATTTCGGGGTCACCTGCGGTCATTTACTATAAAGCGGCAAAACAAGCCTTTCTGCCTCCGTGCATTGCAACAGATAAAAAACAACACTTTTTTTATAGATACAGACAGTTTCCTGGACAATACATGTCCGCTATTATTTTTTGTGGACATGTAACACCTGGCGAAGCTACTGTCGTATCATTGAGTGACCTTGAATGCTGTAATTATTCTTTACGCCAGTATGAATAACACAAGGCAGCCTTTTGGTAATAACACAAGTCTGCAAAACTCGTTTTAACCTGCACGCACGGAGAGTCAAACATACCCCACTAACGGCTCAAAATGACCGTAACGGTTGTCCCGAAAATCGTGTTTTAGGGATTTTTGAAAAATGGCCTCAATTTTGAATTTATGGGTAATTTAGTGCGAAAAATGTAAAAAAAATCATTTTTTTCACCAATATGTCGACAAAAACTAGACTTAAAATCAGAAATTAAAAAATCCCTAAAACACGATTTTTGATCTTATTCCTAGTCGTCGAAAAATATAAAAATCGGAGATCTGGGGTAATATACGTAGCCAGGTTAAAACGATGTTTGCCTAAAAACATGACATGACTTGTGGTCGGAAATCCGAAAAAAATCGTCTTTCGGAGCGGAATTTTGAAAAATCAATGATTTAACATAAACAGCTAATATTAAAAGGATGTTAAGGCAATAAGTTCATTTTAATTCGACGAAATTTACCATTAAATCCTTTTTGTTTATTTTCAAGTGTTTTACGGGTAGTCCAAAACAGGCCAAAATAGCGTCTTGTAACCCGATACGTTTTAGAACGCGCCTAGCAATGGGAAATAATGCCGTAGTGACAGACCGCCGTGATCATTTTCATCTACATAAATGACTTCACAGACAACCTCAACTCCGACATTAGTCCTGCCAATAGAACCCACCCATGGCACGAAACAAGCATTTTCTGTCAGTGATATCGTATTTTAGCCTCACAGATATCAGTATGCTAGAGGATAAGGTTGATTCAAGTTACTACGTCAGAAGTTTGACTTTGAAAATCCAATTTTACTGTGTAGTTTGCCTAACTAGTAACAGAATCCTCCTGGTGGAATAGGCAGACATCGAACGTAAGGCCATGTTGATTTGATTGTATGGATGACATCCTCTGGCAATTTCGAAGCCCTAAACTGATGCAAGCGTGCAAATGAAAACACGTTTGGCAAAAAAAAAGTTGCTTTCAACATAATGAAATGACCTAGAGTATGGTATGATGAATACTAATAGTAATCTACTCTTCAAATTCATTTCTTTACATGGCACAGTATTTAAGCATGCTTAAATCAAGCTTAAAGGTGGCGTAATGTCCATCTTTACACACCTTTCTGGCACCCATCCGTGTACGTAAACATTGTCTTTACGTGTCCTTTCCGTAGAACTGGAACTAGGTATTGTTTTTGGCGCGTCTGTGTGTGTGTGTTTCCACACATTTGTAGTCAGCATAACGCCTTTATGGATTGTGATGATATTTGGTATGCTGGTCTTAGGAAGACCAAGGTCAAGGTCAAATATGGGCCTCCTGGTGGATGACCTTAGTACTGCAGCAGTTTTTGTATCTTTTGTCCTGAACATGCTATGGACTTTAATTTTTGGTGACAGATAGCTTTTCCTGTCAGGAATAAGTGGTGTGGGTTTAATCCCCCTAGCAGCTTTTTCTGGAACTGCAGGGGACTTTCGGGTGAAATCTTTAAAAGCCAATAAGTCCAGATAGACATAAAAGGTGCCTTTAAGCACCTTTAAGCACCTTTTATGTCCGTTTAGGCTTTGTAAACTACTACTTTAAGCACTGTTTACGGACATTTTTTTGTCGGAAAGCATGCGTTTACTTTAAAATTCAATAGGTCTTTTAGCTGCCTTTAAGTCCCACGTTAACATTGTCTTTACGTGTCCTTTCTGTAGTACTGGAAAGATATGTTTTTTCACTTTCCCGTGACTTTACGCAGTTTTTAGGTTCGTTTAGACATAGTAAACAACTACTTTAAGCACTGTTTACAATTTTTTTCGTAAAGTATACAATTACAGAAAAATTCAAGGTCTTCAAGCTGCCTTTAAGATCTGTTTAATGCACGCAAGGCTACATAAATTTGATGGGCTCCACACCTTTCCGTTTAACAAGTGTCCTAAACGGTAACTTTCCAAACATTTGAATCGGCTATGCATAACCTTAACATACGTCGGTATATGTGAATATGATGACAAACATATAATCTGAGAACAATTTATTGAGTAAAACTAGAGGTCGGAGATCTCATGTCTTCGTCAGAGGTACATCGTTCTAGAGAAATTAACATGCGTATTCTTCAATCTTTTTAATAATCAATTTGGTCTAAAGAACAAAAGAATCTCTGTACTATTTTTATGGTACAGAACACCCTGAAACGGTTTGCCGCAGATTATACAGATGCGTCGTCACCCGTGTTAGCCCCCCCCCACGTTATTTGAGTTTGGACTGTTACTGGAAAAAAAAACGTTCAAGAAATCATCATCATCATCTCCGTTACTGCCTAGCCCTACCATGTAGGATTATTGGCAGCCGTTACGCATTGATTAGTTACAATTGTGATCCAGTACATAAAACAAGGTAAAACAAGGATAAATGAGAAGGGAACATAAGACAACTGATTTTGTGTGTGCTAAAGACGGGACAAGTGCATTAGTGCGTTAGTAATATTTACATATATACAAGACATGATGGGGTGGCTCAATGCAGCAGGGTCCTCGCCAGTTCAGATTTGAACTGGGCAAGAGACCCCGCCTCCGCCGCACCAGGCTCAAGTTCATTCCATTCCCTGATGGTGCGGGGGAAGAACGAGAGCCTGTAGAAGTTGGTTCTGCTCGCGATGGCCTGCAATGTTTGAGTGTGATTGATGCGACGGGAGCATCGAGCCACCGGGACAATCCTGGTTGAGTGTGGGACGGAGACAGCGTTATGTATGATCTTATAAAGCATGACCTGGCGGGCGATCTTCCGGCGTACTTCCAGAGACTGCCAGCCCAGGTTTTGCAACATAGATGAAACAGAACTTGTACGTCTGTAGTCACTGCAGACAAAACGGGCAGCTCTACGCTGGACCATCTCCACCCTACTCACCTGGTCCTTGGTGTGGGGATCCCAGACACTACAGCCGTACTCTAAGGAGGGTCTTACAAGAGCCATGTAAGCTCTCTCCTTTGCCGCATTGCTTGAGATTCGTAGGCAGCGTCTCAGCATTCCTAAGGTTCTGTTTGCTTTCGCTGTAACTAGATCGACATGTCTGCCCCAGGTCAAGTTTGAGGAGATGGAAACACCGAGATATTTGGTGGTACTTACCTTGGTTAAAACGTGGTCATGGAGGGAATAAGGGAACGTTATTGGGCCATAGTAAGAAATTCTTACTGTGTTGAAAGTGTCACGACAGCGCCGCAAAATATAACAAGAAGCCATAGGCGACAATTCTCCGTGAAGTATTATATATTGCAACGAAAAGAAGTAGCCATTGGCGACAATTCTCTGTGAAGTGTGATAAATCGAACAAAGAAAAATTGTTTAAACGCGCGTCGGCTCAGTCATCTTAAGACGCAACAACCAATCAGAGATGCGAGATGCCTACACGTGACGCGGGAAGGGCGCGCGATGCCCGAAATATTTTTGCGTCAATATTCAGCGCCGTGATTCAAGAGATTAATACCCGGAAACAATTTTTTTCTTGTTTTGAACGCATTAACATGCATTTACGCTAATCTAGTATGATTCAGGGTTACTTTTTTTTTAACCTGCCATGGCCAGATTATCTAAAGATGTGTGTATTGTGTGTACAATCTATAGAAAGAGAAATGTACATCAGGTCCGATCATCCGATTTTCACGTTTCGGTTTTTTGGACTCGGTTCATGAACGTATTTTGGTTTGGCTCCTGGAATGTGCAAAAAAATGACTCCCGGGACTGTCTACAGGGAACACTCGCACATTCGCGGTGTATCAGGACAGCGCGACTGGTCGTCATTAGCGCAGTAACAGTTGCATAAACGGACGAAACCATTTCAAAGAAATGGGGATGTTTCGAAAATAAGCATTTACTCCAATATCAAAACAAGCTACGGTAAAAATAAAAAGACGTGCATCATCCCGGACATAATGCAACACCACATGCGAAATTACACAGAAATGCGACGTACGGAAGAATGCGTTTTGACTGCGAACATCTTCCAAAAAACTTGGCATCTCTTAACCATGGGCAAAAACATCTGGAACCACTTATAAAAACCACCCCGTATCTGCATGAACTTTTTTGAACCCGACTGCTATTCCAAACAACGCGTTTTTCTGGACCATTCCAATTCGCCTCTTAATTGTAGGGGTGCGTCTGCGATATTACATTGACCGCGAAAGCAGCAACGGCAAAAATACACATTCGTGCATCAACACGGGCATGCCCGCAGACGGCGTATAAAATTGCGTGCCGATTACACAAAGAGAACCCAGTGTTTTGACTGCGAACATGAAAAATCAGCCGATTACAACACTCCGTCCGGAGGTCCTGACCTCCTTCACGGAGTAATAAGAGAAGATGTTATAAAGGAAAGAATCAGAACAGGGTGACTACTGCTGTTTTGTTAATTTGTCTTTATGACAAATAGAAGACTTGTTTCTTGTGTTCTTTGTGTCCTAACATTTGTACTTCTACAGTTAGTATATTCCAAATCTAGGCATCTCGTTTTTCGGCCCTTCGTGTTTTTATTGCGCGCTTGCCTTAAATTTAAGGTAATTAGATTTAAGGTCTCCAGTGGACGTCATCCATAGCAATTACTTGGTGTGGCCGTAGAAAATAACCTGACATATGTCCAACCTATCCTCCCCCTGCTGAAGTTATAGTACAATCCCTCAATGTAACGTCATTTGATCCCATCCCATTATGGGGTTCCCCGCTATATCCAGCTGTCGGCTGTCTCCAAGCAGATGTAGGTGGGAGATTTCTAAACACAAAAGGTCCTATTACGGGGACATAACGACCTCCACGACTCTCATCTTTGAACTCAATCTTGGAGACCACGACAGTAATATGCCTATCAAATTTCATTAACTTCCATCCACACATACAAAAGTTATCCTGCTCACAAGAAAAATTAACAAAATGCCCCCTGTAGTCACAACAAAACCCCCCACGAAGCTCAGTAACGAACTTAACCTTGGTCCCGACA